GTGTCTTCATTCGCCTAGTTGAGCCTCTCCCACTTTCCATTTCAATTAATCCTCTCCTCTTCTCAAGGCCATTGTTAGTTCCATCTACACAAGGCCTTCTCAGCTCTCATGCTCCGTAGGGCCTCAGGCTGGAGTAATACGGAGGGACAGGCAAGGGCATTAGGCAGATTTGGTTTGAGTGCTGGCCTCTTACTAATCCATCTGAGCCTTGCGTCCTGAACCTTAAAAAGAGGACCCACAGAGTTGAGGTCTCGGAAGAGCAAATGAAATAGGTCCAAGATAGCACCCAAGCATAGCATAGTAGTTTTATTTCTCTGGACCATTTTCAAGGGAAGGACGATTTTAGTCTGTGTAGAATGACATGTTGTCCTGATTTACAGAACTAAATCCACAATGAACTGTAGAGTGGAAATCATAAATTCAGTGAGCCTTCCCTTCTGGAAGGGATTTGATGCATTGTGGCACAGATTCGATTATTTGAACCTGATGAATAGCAGCAATTTTCTGGCCTGTAAGTGGCTACAGAGCAACTTAATTATTGATGGGCCCTGTGTCCACAGAAGACGCCACCACAGCCCCAGGAGCTACCTGACAGCTGAGGTTTTCTTTCTTTTATTCTCCATAGCATGATGGTTGAGGAAACTTAAAACTGACATCAGAGGAAGGCAGTATTCCCAGATTTAAAGGTGAGGCTGAGGAGTATGTAGTCAGCCATCTGCCTGGCTTGTCCCAGGGTTACACATCTTCTGAAGAGAAATTAAAGTCAGCCATTCAGAGTCCTTCCTGCCAGCTAGAATTGGAGCTGCGGGTTCTGTGTGACTGGGACCCAAGGACCCAAATGGTGTGTAACAGCTGCCTTTGCCTCTCTGCAGCTTGCAGGAGGGTGGCTGGGCTGCATGTGCCTGGTTATCTAGTTTCAGTGAGCCTCAGTTGCCTTACCTGTAAATGTGGTTCACAGTGGCTGACTTATTGCTTTGGTCGAGAATCTCAGTGACCTGACAAATGTGAAGTGCTGTCATGAAACACATCCTCCATAGGTACATGCCCTTCTTCATTGCCCCAAGGTGCCTGGTGTGGGACCTGCATGTACTGGGTGCAGATAGGTAAGTGGCGAATGCTGGAACCTACACAGCAGATGAAAGGCAATGGTGTGTGGGTGCTCCTGGCTGGCAGGTAGCCAGTGTGACAGAAGGGCTGGTTAGAGGCAGACTGAGGCTGGAGTGAGTGGAATGGGCCTGGAAATGGGCATACTGAGTCTCTTGGAATTTATCTCATACAGAGAGAGGCTAGCAACCTTTTAAAAGCAGAAAGCGGGCATGATCAGAACTGTTGTGATTATTTTAGGAAAACAGACTCTGAAAGCACTATGGAGAATGGAGAAGGCCAGGGATCGTCAGGAGAGTCCATAGGAGGTTGATACAGTGAGAAGTGAACTGGAGATCATGGGGTCTGAACAACGGCAGTGGAGTATGTCCAGAGGGGACCCACAGTCTAGACCTCCTTGGGAAGTAGAATGGACAGTGAGTGTGGAGGCACAAAGGCAGGAGAGAATTTGGAAATGACTTGGATAACTGAATGGTTTCTAGCTTGGGCTACTGGATGGGTGACAGTGCCAGGAACTGAGATGGGAAAGTGAGGAGGAGGCCTGGGGTGAGGAGGAGACATATAATGGATTCAGATGACTCTGACTGTAATATGTACACACACCCACAGAGCACTGCTTTCAGCTGTGAGAAATACAGCATAACTTAGGAGCATCAGCCTACTCTCCTGACTCCTGTAGGAACATTAGTCACAAACAATGGGGCTCTGAGTGACCCTTTAATAGTTAGAATATAGAACAGACCCCTCTTGTCATTTCAGAGTCACCTTGTAGCTCCTCCAGCAGGGGCTGCTAAAGAGAGAAATGTCATATTTAACTCATATTCAAGGTATTCATAGCCCCCAAGATGCCCAGGAAACCCTGAAGTCTCCAGGCTGCAGTATAACCAATAAAAGATCAGGTTCAAATCCTGATTCTGCCTCTCACCAGCTGAGACCTTTGGTAAGCACATGACCTCTCTGAGTACCTGTCTCTGTTTATAAAATGGGACTCACTATGGCTCTTTATGAGACTAAAATATGATCAGACTATATAGCACAGGGCCTGGAATAGTGTAAATATAGTACTAGCCACTGTTGTGGCTGTTATGTTGTTGTTATTTGTAGTAATTCCTAGCCATAACTGTAGTGTTTGTATACTAGACTTTAACACTGTGTGTATTCCCTGTGTCCATAGAAAAAACTGAGGCCTAGTCTTCTTTTCTTTTTCTTATTGGCAGTAGTGGAGATTAAATTTGGAACCTTCACCTTGAGCAGTATCCCCAGCCCCCCTCCCTTTTTTTCCTTTGAGACAAGGTCTTGCTAAGTCACTAAGTTGCCCAGGCTGGAATCAAACTTGTGATTCTCCTGCCTTGGCCTCCCAAGAGTTCTGGGATTACAGACTGGTTGAAGCCAAGTCTTAAGCATTGTGATTTTAGACTAATAAGAACAAGATCCCCATACTTATGGGAGACCTTGCCTGTGAAGCATCCCCAAGTGATGATGGGCTAACGGGAGACTGACATGGAAACATATCACTATGGTAAAGTAATAGTGACATCCTAAGGTGTCTGCTTGCCTGGGGGTAGGGGTGGAGGAGAGGTGCCACCAGCTAGAGTTGGAACAGCAGAGAAGGAAGGCTAGACAATCAGTTGAAATGTGTTCTTGGGCAGGGCCAAATCACAGGGCAGGATTTGCTAGGTGGTCAAGGAAAGAAGGATGTGGTTGTTGATGGAGGTTGTCAGGGAAAGCCCTGGTCTGACCAGTTGATGGTGGAGAAGAGGCCAGATGAGGCAGGAGAGGTGGCCTCCTTCATGGCCATCCTGGCTGGATAGTGGAGAAGCACTGCAGAGTTCAGGTGAGAAGAGCAGTAATCTGAGAGATGCCAGAAGGGATGAGATGCCTGAGAGAAGATCTGAAGAGTGAGGAGGCCTTGAGGGCAGCAACTGAGTTCTGACCTGGGCCATCTCTGAATTCTGACCGGGGCCTCGCTGAACCTGGAGAAGGCATCCAGCTGTGAATTCAGAAAGAGGGCATAAACCACTCATCTGCCCAAGGTGCTCCATAGGTGTTCCATAGGCTGCATAGGCACTGCAATGCATAGTTTCCAGCCCCTTAGGCCCCCAAATGCTTTGGGTCCTGTTTGGTTTGCCATAAACATGAGCACTCCCCATGGACTCTGCAGCTGTCAGTGTGTGTGCAGGTGACAGACTGGCTCATCTGGGGTTGGGTTTTGTTTGTTTTTCTAATGGACTAATCTGTTGTATTTTTTGACCAAGTTATATAAAGTTATCAGCATAGGGAGACCTTGGACATCACTTTGGCTTTTGCATTTTGTTTTTGTTTTTGGTTTTTTGGGACAGGGTCTCACTATGTAATTGAGACTGAACTGGAACTCACCAGGCTGGTCTCGAACTCACAGCGATCCTCGCTTTGACTTTTGATGGGAGGAAGCCTAGCAGGCTGGGGTGGTGCACAGCTGCAGTCTGAGACCTGGGCAGGGGAGTGGCAGCACTTCTATTATGGGGGAAGATCAGGCCTTGGGTACCTGAGACCCCTCACCAGGGCCTTCATATCTGGTATCTTGGTGGCCACTAAAGGAGTTGGGAGTTGATTGGGCTCTGGATTGGACCTTTGGCAGGGACTGCCTCCTACTTCACCCTAGCTGTGGTCCCTCTGCTTTGGTAGGGCAGAGGCTAGAGCCCAGGATGGGCAGTGGGGGTAGTAGATGATGAGCAAGGAAATCAGAGAGTTAATCTAGAAAGCTGGGGACGCACAGATTAAACATGGAATATTTCTGTCTTCTAGAAGTATGCATGTCCCCCTCACAGAAGCCTGCTTTTTATTCTTAAATAAAGATTGGGGTACTATCACATACTATCACATGCTGGGGTGGCAGAGTGGTGAAGCTCATGGGGTGATTTGTGCCCGAATGAAGAGGTGGACTTGTAACTCATTGCTGCAGCAGGGGAGTGCAGGGCCAGTGGCATTGGCTGTGCAGTCTTCTAGAAAAGCTGGGAACTCATATTTTATTGGAAGTTCTCCCAATTAGTTTAAATTTAAAAACAAAAACAAAACATTGCTGGCCAAGAGAAATTTGCCTATGGTCCAGCCTAGGCCTGTGAGCAGCAGTAGTGTTCCTGGGCAGCCTGGCCTCCCTGCTGTCCTCTCTGGCCTTATCACCCAGTGGAGAGCCTGCTAGACAGGAGTGGCCTGAATCTGCTCCAGATTCTTCTCTGGCATGAGCCTCAGTGGCTGGGGCAGGTCCAATTCATCCTGGAGTTTACCTTTTTACAATGAAGGCCAAGGCTGGATCTGTCATTTTGAACCATTTTTTATTTTCAACAGCAGGACCTTTGTTTCAACCAAATCTTACAAGAAACAAATCACAGTGTATGAAGTAGATAAAACAGAGCTGCCCTAGTTGCGGGGGAGTTGGGAGTTCTGGCCCTAGGCTACCTCTGCCCTTCCCCAGGACTGTACAGAAACAGTGTAGTGACTGCACATCTGCTGGCTGCTCTCTCCACCTCCTAGCCTCAGCATTTTGTGGTGTGCCTGGGAGGAGAACCACAATCAGGAGGAGAGCCAGCCCCTCACCCACATTCTGCCCAGTCCTTCACACAAGGTGAACAGCCAGCCACCAGATATAGCCGCTACTTCCTGGTGCTTTCCATGCATTTTTGCCTGCTCACATCAGCCCACCAATGTGTGCATCACTGTTTCCATTTCACAGGTGAGTGAGCCCAGACATAGAAAGGGGAAGTGAGCTACCCACAAGGTCACTAGGCTGAAAAGTAAAAGAGCCGAGACTCTGAGTCCCAGCAAGCAGGCTTCCCATCCCTGGTGTTTTCAGGGCATGCAAAGCCCCTTCAGTCAGGCTTGATTGCTCTAAGCAGGATTCTCGTTTTATCACCATTCAGGAGACGGAACCATCTGAACCCAGAAGTGCAGAAGTAACAAGGAAGACCAAGGCTGCTGTTCCTTCTGCCAACAAGAGGCCCAAGAAGGAGACCAAGAAGAAGCGATAGAAGTGGAGGCCTGAGGAACCAGGCGAGCCTGGGAATCAACATCCTGTTTTCTTTCCATCCCAGGCTCAGTGTCTAGATGCTGTGACACCATCTGACCACAGAGATCTGGACAGTCATGATGGTCCCCAGGCTTTAGCTGGACAGAACACCACTTCCTCCTGCTCCTGCTTCCATGGTGGTTTCCAGTCCGGGGACTGAAATGCCCTGTGAGCAGACACTGCCCTGGGGGGTTGTTAAGAAGCCAGTTCATCTCACAGTTACTTAATCACTGTGACTAGGCAATAGGCACCCACCTTGTGGACTCACGCTACACCTTGGAATCGCTATCTAATGCTGACAAGCACTTCCTCTCCCATTGCTCTATACCACAGATCTGCTAATCAGTCACCTTCATTTCTGCTGTGTAGATGGAGCTAGACCTCAAGTGTGTTAGGGCAAGAAGATATGGCCATGCAGTGGTACTGATCCCACTCACTGGCTGCACCACCCAGGCCTAAAAATGCTCACTGGAAGAGCCAGCAGAAAGCCTGGACCAGAGTCACACCTGAGATTCCTCTAGCAGGTAGAAGGGATTTGGTTGAATGAGTACATATTCTTGGGCACAAACTTTCTGAGCCTCTGAAATAGCAGGCTTGTCAACTTCAGACCAACCTCTTCAACCCATTATAACATCCAAGGTATTATGCCTTTGACTTCTACCTGCACACCATCCACTTCTTCCCCCTCAGTTTTTTCATTCTCTGAGTAGTGAAGAAAAGTTACTTGGAAAGTAAAGGTCAATAAAGTATTTTGCATGCTGATCCTACTTGTGTGTTGTCTGTTGCTGAGGGAAAGGGGATACCTGGGTCACTACCCTGAGAGTGAAGAAAATGCTGGCTCCCAAGAGAAGTGGCACAGTGGGGGCAAGGATGGGCAAAACAGGAGGTGACTTTGGTCAGAGTGGTGCTACAAGCTCAGCTATTCTGGGCCAGTTTTCAGGAAGAGTGTGGCCTTAGTCATTGGAAACACTTGTGGGTGTGTGTGGGTGTTTTAGAGTTTCCGCTGGGTTGAGGCCCTCTTACTCCCTAAGTTTCTGTTGCCTGTGGAAGATGCTGCTGGTCCTCAGAGGCTTGAGAAAGACCAAGTGCATTACAGGAGGAGGACCCACATGACCAGGTGGGTCCGGTTGTGTGCCCTGACTCAGTTGCCTAGGAAGAACCCTGACCTCTGGTAAAGCAGAATCACCAGCTCTTTACAATCTGCCAAACACTTTAAAAAAAATCTGTCATCTCTATTTTAGAGGTGGGAATCCAAAGTTCAAGCTTACTTGAGAGTGCCAGAGTGGGGATTGTGACCCAAGTCCAAGGCCCCTTCATGGGTATTTAGCAAATAGAGTCAATAGGCACAGTGCAGTGAGGGTCCCTGCCAAGATGGAAGTGGACCTGGTGAGATCTGCCAGCGCTTTAGGTTTCAGAGGAAGTCCAGGGTTTGGGGCTCTGCCTAACAGGGCCAATCTTGGTCAGATGCAAGCAGGAGAAAGGGCTTTTCCTGAGTATTTATGTCTACAAGTATCTCTTAGATGCCAAGCACCATACTAGGCTGGAGAAACAAGGAACCACTTTGCTTAGAGACTCAGACGAGAACAGGTTCTGTGTGGGTAATGCAAGCAAGTGATGTGGGAACCTGGCCCAGGGGACCAGCCTGGCTACATGGCAGAGTGGAAGTGACAAGCTGAGGCTTACTCAGCAGGTATTCCGACCAGAGGGAAATCACAATGGGACAGTGGGGGCCAGGTCTCTCGAGCAGACTGTTCCAGATCGTGGAGGAGAGACCTCTAGCTCCCAAGAACAGTGCTACCTTGACAGAGGGTCCAACTCCTTTATATTGTCTCTCTTGCAGACAACCAGAGACCAACCCTCAGAAAGGGCAGTCGTCCTCTTTCCACCCACCCCTATTCCACACTTCCTGTGGGCAGAGATTGTAGCATTTGCTTCTCAGCTTCTGAGACCTCATCTTTTCCTCAACCCAGGTTCCTATTTATCAGAGGTGCCCAGGCCTCAGTCTTTGTTATTTGAAGGTTCAGTCCCTGTGGACTTCCTCCTGACATGTTAGGACATCTTATCCAGGATTATGGATTTCAATGACACCTGAATTAGGGTTTACCACAAATACAGAACCAATAGGAGAGATCTATTACAAGGAAATTGGCTCAGGTGATTACAGAGGCTGAGAAGTCCCCATGATCCATCTGCAGGCTGGAAACCCAGGAAGGCTGGGGGTGAGGCCAGTGGTATAGATTCCAGTGTAAGTCTGAAGCCCTGAGAACCAGGAGTGCTGAGAGCAGAAAATAGGTGTCCCAGCTTATTCAGTCAGGCAGAGGAAGTACAAACCCAACCTTCCTCTGCCATTTTGTTTTATTCAGACCCTCAGTGAATTGGATGAGTATCACCCACACGGGGGAGGTCCGTGTGCTTTACTCAGTCTAGCGATTGAAATGCTAATCTCATCCCCACTCTTACAGACACTATGAAGTACTGTTTAGTTAGATAACCTGCTCATCCCATGGCCCAGTCAAGTTGGTGTATTAATCATCACACCACCCATATGCTGATCGTTCCTTTCTAAACAGATCTCTGGAGACCTCCCTCTTAAAACTCCAGACTTGCATCTGACTTCTGACTCAGTATCTCCAATTGGATGCCCAATAGACATCTCAAAGCAAATTCCTGACCTCATCAGCAGCTCAAATCCAGGCTTCCTTGGTCTTATCTTGGGAAAAAGCCCTATATGTTTGGTATATACAAGTCAAATATATAAGTATGGATATATGTAATCACAAGCTAAAATAGCATCTCACATAGTTACCTGTGTGCTGTGTGTGTGCTGTGTGCTGTGTGTATGTGTCTGTGTGTGTGTGTGTGTGTGTGTGAGTGTGTGTTGAGAACTAAGGGTCTACTTTAGCAAATTCTAAGTATAGAATATAGTTTTCTTACTTAGTCAGATCTCCAGAATTTATCTTGCATAACCGAAACTTAATACTCTTGACCAACATCTTCCACCATTCTACTCTGATGTTATGAGTTTAGAATTCACATATAAGTGAGATTATACAGTATTTCTCTTTCTATGTCTAGCTTATTTTATGTGGCATAATGTTCTCCAGCTCTCTTTATGTTATCACAAATGGCAGAATTTCCTTTGTCTTTTTTTAAAAAGATGAGTCATGTCCATTATTTCTGTATATCACATTTTCTTTATCCATTCATTACTTGATGGATGTTTAGGTTGTTTCCATAGCTTATCTATTGTAAATAGGGCAGTGAACATAGGAGTGTAGGTATCTCTGGGCTCAGTGGTAGAGCACCAGCCTAGTAAGTGTGAAGCCCTGATATCAAGCCCCAGTACCAGAAGAAAACAAAAACAGAACCAAAAAGAAAACAAAGCTGACTTTATTTTCTTTGGATAAGGTATTTTGATGCTTGACTTTTTGAGGAGCCACCAGTTTTCCATAATGGCTGGACCAACTTACATTCCCACCATAGTGCCAGAGTTCTAATTTTGCCACATCCTCACCAACACTTATCTTTTGTTTCTCCAATAATAGCCATCCTAACAAGCACGTGAAGTATCTCCTGGCTTTGAGTTGCATTTTCCTGATGGTTTGATGATATTGAGAAACTTTTTATATACCATACCTATTGGGCATTTGTATGTCTTTTTTGGAAAAGTATCTATTCAGATCCAGTTAGGTTAATTGGCTTTTTTTTGTGTTGTATGAGTTCCTTATTTACTTTAGATATTAACCTTGTAATATACATGATTTGCAAATATTTTCTTCCATTTTGTAGACTGTCTTGTCATTTTGTTGATTGTTTCCTTTGTTGTGCAGAGTGCAAAAGCTTTTTTTTTTTTTTCTTTTTGAGATTTCTCACTATGCAGCCCAGCCTGGCCTCCCAACTCCTAGTGATCCTTCTGCCTCAGTCTCCCAAGTGCTGGGATTACTGTTGTTCATTTTTGGTCTTTTTGTTTGTGCTTTTAGTGTCATATCCAAAAAATTGGTGCTGGGGCCAATGTCAAGAAATTTTTTTGCAGTTTCCTTCTGGAGCTTTACATTTTCAGATCTTATGTTTAAGACTTGAATCCATTTTGAGACAATCTTTGTGTATAATGTAAGATAAGGATCCAATTCCATTCTTTTGCATGTGGATATCCAATGTCCCCATTTATTGAAGAGACTGTTATTTCCTCATTGTGTGTTTTGGTGCCATTACTTAACATTAGTTGAGGGCCGCAGATTTAGCTTAGTTGTTCTGCCACTTTCCTTGCAAGCACAAGGTCCCAAGTTCGATCCCTGATACCAAAACAAACAACAAAAAAATTAGTTGACATAAGCATGGGTTTATTTCTAGGGTTGCTATCCTGTTCCCTCCGTCTGTGAGTTTGCTTTTATGCCAGTAGCATTCTGTTTTGATTACTATTGGTTTATAATATAAATTTGAAATCAGATAGTATGATGCTACCAGCTTTGTTCTTTCTCAAGATTTCGCGTGGTCTTTTGTGGCTCCAAATTAATTTTAAGATGAAAAATGTTTATCTCACCACGCCCCTCTTCATCTCTTCTGGACTCTTCAGCAGTCTCCTCTGTTCTCAACACAATAAGCCAGAGGGGTCCTGCTAGAACTTGTGAGAGCTCCAGGTGTAGTGGCCCACACCTGTAATCCCAGAACTCAGGAGACTGAGGCAGGAGGATCATGAGTTCAGGTCCAGCCTGGGCTACACAGCAAGGCCCTATCTAAAAAAAGAAAAAGAACAACTGTAAGATCATGTCCCTCAGCAGGTAGAGACCAAAGTTTTCACTGGATCTCCAAAGGCCTGCAAGAGCTACTCCACCTCCTTTGACCTTGTGTCCCCCATTTCCCTTTACCTATCTACTCCGTCCTCACCGACCTTCATCTTTCTCCGACATGCCAGGCAACCTGTGTCAGGTTTGACCCTACCATTCCTACTTCCTTTATTTTTATCTTTCTATGTGGGTTTTTTTGTTTGTTTGTTTGTTTGTTTTGAGACAAGGTCTTGCTAGGTAATCCAGCCTGGCCTTGAACTCACTATGTAGTTCAGGCAGGCCTCAAACTCTTAGCCACCCTCCTGCCTCAGTATTTTGAATGCTGAGATCACCGGTGTGCACTACGATGCCTGTTTCCACTCCCTGTAGGTATGATGCCCCATGTGGTAGATGGAGTATCCTACCAAGATGTCTGTATCCTTATCCATGGAACCTGTGTCTGTGTTGCCCTATTGCCAAAGGGGACTTTGCAGCTGTGATCATTAGGGATTTTTTGGGGGAGTATCAGGGATTAAACCCAGGGCCTTTGCACTGAGCCCCATCCCCAGCCTTTTTTATTTTTTATTTTGAGACAGGGTCTTGCTAACTCACTAAGTTGCCCAGGCTGGGCTAGATCTTGTGATCCTCCTGGCTCAGCCTCCCAAAGTGCTGGGCTTACAGGTATGCGCCACTATGCCCAGCTAAGTTAAGCTTCTTGAGATGGAGAGTATTCTGGTTTACCCAGTTAGGGCCAATGTAATGACAAGGACACTTATGAGGAACAGGTGGAAAAGTCAAAGTCAGAGATGATGCAAAGGAAAGCCAATGGTGCAATGTGGGCCAGGAAGCAAGGAGCGTCCGCGGCCTATAGGAGCTGTGAAGGTGAGAATGGAGAGCTCCACAGAGATTCCAGCAGGATGGCAGCTCACCAGTGTCTTGGTTTTTAGCCCAGGCAGACCCATCTTGGACTCCTAACCTCAAGGATTATGAATACTAAGT